AGAGTGTTCATAACTTTTGAATTTGTTGGTTATAACTGTTCTATAGTCTTACAAAACTATCATTATATCATGAGGAAGAAGGTGATAATAACTCTTACAATACAGTAGAAAGCCAGAAGCAACATTACTTGCCATATATAACTCCTTATTGATGCCAAGATACTTTCCATTTCCACATCCGATATCGGCCACTAATGAACCGCTTGGCAAAGCTTTCAAAAACTCCACAATGCGTGGCCAAGCGCTATGTCTTGTGCTACTGAAGTGCCCAGCAATCTCTTCATAAACTCGATGGACATATTCTTGCTCCAGTTGTGCGGCTTCTTTATCACTCTCTGGAAATGATGGGGGAGGCTCCTTCATCTGGCTGTCACAGACTAAAGGGTAACCTAATGAAAAAATAAGGCAATTTTAACCTTTTATTTTCATAAGGTCTCATGATTTCTTAAAAGAAAAAGCAAATAAATCTAAATTGGGTGACTAGGGACAAGTAGGCTCTGATTTATCAGTTTTAAAAAAATAGCTCTTACCTAGCAAGTTCAATTATACCTGTGATGGATCTACAATAAAAGGAAGGTGGGAAATCCATTTGCGACAAAACATGACTGCAATTCTGCATGCCTTATAATGAGGATGCCTGTTTCATCTTGGGATTAAGGGTCATCTTATTCAGGAAAGCATCTTGATGGGCCTGGCCTAACCAGAAAAAATTTAGCTAAATTAATAAGATTTAGGGTTTTACTCTTGGTGAGTGAAGGGGATAGGAGCTGTGGGGGGCACCAGGACTCTCATAAGAGCAAGACCTAGAAGCAAAATGTCATTTGATAATAATCACAGAATTTAATGAATACCTTTTGAAGCAGTTTATATGTATTGTCTCACTTCTCAAAGTAACACTACAAGATAGGTACTAATTATACTCATTTTACAGATGAGGAAACTGAAGCACAGAACACTAAACAATACCAAAGTGACAAAGTCACAGAGCCAAGATTTAAACCCAAGCAGTGGAGACTCCAGAGCCCACATTCTCAATGACTAAACTGCTGCCTCCTTCAACAGAATGAGCAATTCCTAAGCAGAACACCACCAAGTAATGAAGATGACAGAGGAAATTTAGGACACAATGTCTCAAATTAATTTTTCTGTTCCTTGTTCTCTGAAATAATGCCTCCTACTCATTTTAAATCCTTTTCTGTTCTCTGCTATGCTATATTCCCCTCTGTCTTCAGCCAAAGTTTGTGACACATATCTTTTCATGAGTAGTATTAAAGAACAAAAGGAACAGTGTTCCCAGAGAAACCACAGACAAGACTAAAACAATAATTAGAAATAGAATTGGGCTACAGCATTGATGGCTTCAGAAACTTTTCCTAAATATAACTAGACTATGTCAAATCTTGAGAAAGCCCAGAATGGAGGTGGGAGCATCTAGTCCCTACTAATGTGTGAAATGAAGCTCTAAACATTTTAAGTGGACATTTAAGAAAAGGGTGGCCCCCTAAAACTTAAAGACTCTAAAATATACATGGTTACAATTTATTGCTTAAATCAGAATTACAACTACACTACAATATACATTACAATTATCCTATACTGGTCTTAGTAAACTTTTACTCTCTTGGAAATTATGAACGTCTAAATTATCTAAAGAGAGTAACAACTGTTATCACTTAAAAATAGATGATTTTGACCAAAAGTATCCAAAAGATGGCCTTAACTTTAAAAAAATCTATAAACTGAATATACAGAGCTTCTTATAGCATCCCTTCTACTTAATTAATGCCCATAACAAAGAAACATTTGCATAAGAAAACTAGCTTGTCTCTCCAACTAGACTCAGGTTCCTTAAGAACAAGAGCCATACTTTATTTTTCTGCACCTTGTAAAGTTACTGGCAGTATTAGACCAAATATTTAATAAACATCTTATAATCGATAAAAAAAAA